GTAAAACCCAACGAGGGGACAATGGCCCGGGTACATCACCCGAATATCGAGTCGTGGGACCCGGACGTTTATGAGAAGGAACTGCTGAGGCGCACGTGGAGTGATGATTTTGATTTTCTCTACGAGCTCGGGTGAGTGACACTTAGGCTTGGGCTTAGACTCAGTTTTAGGCTTAGGCTTGGCTTAGGTTAGGCTTAGGCTTGGCTTAGGTTAGGCTTAGGCTTAAGCTTAAATTAGGCTTGGCTTAAGTTAAGCTTAAGTTAGGCTTAAGCTTAGGCTTAGACTTATACTTCAATCTTAAACCTGGGCTTAACTCGTAGCTTTGACTTGATATTTTTTCAGCGCCGCCATCTACTGCTACATCTTTGACCACAACCCCAACTGCAAGAAACTGTTCCCATTCATCTCCACGTATAACGTAAGTTATTTTCCCCTTCCTTTATCTAGCTCTCTCTCTCTTCTCTGTCTCCCTCTCGCTGTCCCTCGCTCTCTCTCTCTCTCTCTCTCTCTCTCTCTCTCTCTCTCCCTCTCGCACTATCTTTCGATTTTCCTGAGCAATCGCTTCTTTTCAGGGTGACGAATGGAAGCACAGCAAGGAATTCCGTTCCCAAGCCCTCAAATTTGTGCAGACCCTTGCCCAGACAGTGAAGAACGTGTATCACATGGATCGGGTCGAGATCTTCCTCTACACGATTGGCCAGAAACACGTGAAATTCGCCGAGCGCGGCTTCAAAGCGGAGTATTGGAATATATTCCAGGTGAGCGGGTGAGGGAGAGGTAGAGAGAGGCGTCTAATTCTTGAAAACTAACAATATATAATTTTCTAGGATGCTATGGAATATTCCTTGTCAAGCCACATGAACAATTTGAAGGATTTCGATGAAGCGCAGAAGAAGGACGCTGTTCGGGTGGGTCTCAAAGTTGAGAGAGAGAGAGCGAGTGAAAGCGAGAGAGAGCGAGAGAGCGAAAGAAATGAAGAGAGAGACAGGGAGAGAGCGAGAAGGAGAGGGCGAGAGAGAATGATAGAGCGAGAAAGTGAGAGAGAGACAGAAAGAGAATGGAGAGAGAGGGAGCGATAGAGAGAGAATGAAAGAGAGCTAGAGAGAGAGAGCGAGAGAGTAAAAGAATGAGATAGAGAGATAGAAAACCATGCTTGCAAACGATAATTTTTAGGTGTGGCGTACGCTGGCGCTCTACGTAACGACACACATGAGCCACGGGTTCTTCGACGGAATGCGAGGGGTCAACAAATTTGCAGAAAGCCCATGAGCAGCCGTAGCTTACCCCTTTCCGAATTTGAATCACCATGCCATGCTCAAAATTGTCCCATTAGTCGTGGTCTGGCTGGGCCCTGAGACCTTCCGCATCATCAGCATTGAATCCGTGACGGGCCATCGAAATTTGCATAATTGAACGTATGATATTACCCTCGTGTGATTGTGTTGTGTACCGTATTGTATGAGCGTGTTTTGTGCGATTCCCGTTGATAAATTTTTTGGTCAAATCATGATGCAAGTCCGAATCAAATCCGATTTGTTATAATTAAAGTAGTACAGAGTCAGTTTTACTCTTTTTATCGAAATCTTCTATCGAAATGATCGACGATAGAGAAAACAGCTAAAAGGGTTAGTCGCGATCGCCATTAGGCGTTTTCCGGAAAAAATCCGACACCAGCCAATCGAGAGAGCCAAACAAGTGGCTTCTGTTTCATTAAAGAGGATTTGTCGAGGTAACCCGATCCGCGGTCGCGTGTCTAGCAAGATGCTAGGGATGCGGGCCGCAGAAAATTTTACAAATTCAATTCTTTGGCATTTCAAACTAAGCCTAAGCTTAAACGTAACCCTAAGCCTAACCTAAGCCCTAAGCCTAAGCCTCAGGCTAAGAAAAACCTAAGCCTAAGTCTAAGAAAAACCTAAGCCTAAGCCTAAGCCTAAGCCTAAGCCTCAGCAAAAACTAAGCCTAAGCCAAACCAAACCTCCGCCTAAGCCCAAGCACCCTAAACCTAAGCTGAAGCTGAAATCCGTAGTATAGTTGGTCCAGGTCATAATCCACTTTTTACAATTTGACACCCAAAGATCCCCCCGTGGGGCCTAAATAGGGCGCGACCCCGGATTTGTGCGGCGTGGTGGAAAAACCCCCCACTCCGGACTTGCCTTTCCATTTAGACCACGGCGGCGACTCCGCACCAAGCCTATTCACGGTTCAGCCCACTTCAAACTCACTTTCCGGCTTGCTCTTCGACCTCTTTGGTTTTCCCCCGTGGACTTTCAAAAAGCTGAGAGGATTGGCTTTCTTTCTTTTCACTTTATTCCGTATTGAGATCTGTACAAGGTGTCCCAAAAAGAAAACCACTGCTAACGGTCCGCGGTGATGTCCGATTTTTACGCTTTAGGTTTCTATCGAATACTTATTTTAGGATTTTTTTTCGATTTATGAGATTCCTGAGTTTGTAACCCGATTTTTTAACGTTTTTATTGGCATAAGTTTTGCAATTTTCTGCAAAAACTCAATTTAAGCGGCTTCAATCCAATCCAAGCTGTGTTTTCTCAATTGGCTTTCAAAAGCCGACCTTGGGCTGCCAGGAAAAACTTAAAAATTGGGAACATGAACTTTTTGTTAAAAACACTTGCATGAAAAAAGCATCCAAAGTTTCGGCAATTTCGCAAAAAAAGTGCATTTTTTGGGGGAGTGCTCCGGGGTGAGGGTGAGAGGGTTTCAGCGTCGCGAATGTGGCTATGAAGGACAGAAAACAGCCGCAGGCACGTTTCACTTTTCAACCCAATCATCATCATCGTCGCTCTCCCAAACCACTTTATTTATTGTCACCCACCAAATGCGCGTTGCCAGTCGCCTAGCTGCCACCACCCCTCAATGCCACGCGTTTTTTGGCGGGTTAGGCTTAGGCTTAGGCTTACAGTTAAGCTTAGGTTTAGGCTTAGGCTACGCTGCTACGCCGCTCCCAAGTCCCTTTTTTGGCGTTTTGTTAAAACACTCTAAAAACTACCCTTTCGGCATTTGCCGTGCCGGGGGGGTCCTTTTTCTGGGACACCCTGAACATACCCCCGATTTCCCACCGGGTGCCCCAGGTTTCCGGGAACGGTTTCGGGAAAGTGGAAAGCGCGGCGCGTCGGCGCACCGGGTTTTAACGAGCGGCTTCTGGAAGGGGGACTCTTCTGGACGAGGGAGACGGCAACGGCAAACACTTTTTGCACCCCCACACATACACCCCCTCCCGAGATGACAGAACGCAGCAGTGCCCGACGGCCCAGCCGCAATTTGCATTTCGCGGGATCTTTCGCCCTCTCTCTCTCTCTCTCTCTCTCTCTCTCTCCCTCTCTTTGTTCTCTCTCTCTCACGCATTTTTCACTCCCCTTTTTCCACACTCAAACAAACCATCAGCTCCGAGATTCCGAAGAGCGCCCCGGGGCCATTCTGGCTGTCAATCACAACCTGGGCGCTTGGACCCCCGGAATCTGGTGTTCCATCTCGGTTTCTTTTAAAGTGCATTCGACCTGCTTATTTTATTGTTTTGTAGGACTTTACTTTGCCCCCGCCCCCACCAACCGGAAGTTCTCAAACGTTTTTCACTATAACTTTTTGTTTTGCATTTTTTGGGTTGTAATTCCAGCTCTTAGAATATATTATATCTTTTCCAACCTCTGAAAATCTTGAACGAAGGTCAGAGAGAGCGAGAGAGAGAGAGAGAGAGAGAGAGAGAGAGAGAGGGAGCGAAGGTCACATCCCTCACCCTGCTTTGCCTATAATTAGCCTTCACATATCCTGGTTCACCTCTATGGTTGGCATAAGAGATAAACGGGCCTGTTTCTATTGACACTCAGCCCCGAAGTTGGGTTCCAGTTTCGTTTCCCTCTCAACTTTCCTAAATTTTCTACTAACGAACCGGAACCATCGCATGATTTCTCGTTGATGAATTGATTAAAATGACTTTTTACTCATTTATCCACGTTTCTCTAACGCTCTCTCTCTCGCTCTCTATGCTTGTGAATGCGTGTGCACCAAAATTCGGTGCAAATTTGGCTGGCATAGGGTAGGGGAGGGAGGGTGGCAAACAGATCGCCAAGCGTGTGCCACAGCAGCCGAACGAAAAGAAAATGGAACGAAAAAGCAAAAAGGTCAAAAGAAGGCGATGTGACAATAAAGGAAGGGAGCCACACCCGTAGTGTGGAATCGGAAAAGTGAGAGGGAGAGAGAGAGAGTAAGCGCGAGAGCGCCCTCTCACCCCCATCTATAGCCAATCGAACGATTCGCGGCGCCTCGGGATCCTCAGATTTTATCATTGATTTCCTAGTCCTCCCCTCTGGGGTCATTCCATGTGACAGTCAGCTACATTTCCGCCGCTACACAAGGATCCTATTTAAATTTGCTTGGCAGGCTTACCGCGGGAAGATTATTACTTCTAAAAGTCCTTACTTCTAAAATCGACGCTTCTAAAAGTTGGTAAGTCGGATTATCAGTTTTTCGGCACGTTTGGCCGTATTGATGCCCAAATCAACGCTGAAAATTTGAGAAATTACTTCTAGAAGTAATGGTTTTAGAAGTAATGAGTTTTAGAAGTAATGTTGAGGCTTGCCTCTTTTATTTCCGTTTCTCTCTCTCTCTTTCTCTCTCTCTCTCTCTCTCTCTCTCTCTCTCTCTCTCTGTCTCTCTCTCTCCCTCTCTCTCTTTATCTCTGTCTGGCTTGCTCTCTCACGCTTATTCTCTCTATCACTTTCGTTCTGTCTGGCTCTCGCTCTCTCTCTCGATCTCTCTATCTCTCTGGCTCTCTCTCTCCTTTGCGCTTGTGCCCGGCGTTTTCTTAGCAAAAACCTGATTACCCCATCCGTCTTCTGACCAATTGCGTCCTCTCATCCATGCAATATTTCTGAACCTCTGAATTTCCCATGATTTGTCAGATTCCATGGTTTCAACCTACCGATTTAGACGGCGACCCTAAAATGTGCCCCGTATTCTAGCAGCTTGGATTTTAAACCGCGGGAAACATGCAGAACGCGATGAATGTGCCGGAGAAGAACGAGCGGGTGAGTCAACGGTTTACACACGATTGCTTGACACGCGTCGACCTGATGCCCGGTTTATCTTTGAGGGATCTGAGCTCGTTGATTTTGGGCACATCTAGTCATTGTTGAAGCTTTGTTATTTTTAAGCCTAAGCGTAAGCCGAAGCTCTTAACCTAAGCAAAAGTAGCTAAGCCTAAGCCTAAGCACAAAAAAAAGACTAAGGAGAAGACCGAAAATGACCCCAAAAAAATTTGCCCCCCCTAACTTGAATAGTATCATTACTTTTAGCAAATTTTTTCTCTCGAATTTTTGCAGCAGTCTAAACAGCATTTTTGCCCTAAAATGCGCTGTAACTTCTCGAAATTCCGATTAAGCTATTTTGGAGCACAGATTCAGAGTGCCTATGCCGAAATCTTCCTACTCAACTCTCGCAACCCTTACATTTTCTTGCCTCCACATCCCTACCAATACCTCGGGGGTGAATCGGCCCCCGCGAATCCCTGAATGTGACAGCCGTAAAAGATGCGCTTTCCATGAGCAGTGAGGGCTATTGTGCTGACGCATCAGGCATGAGAAAGCCACCGGGAATCGATCCCTCAGCCAGCCCGTTTCGAACTTATCAGCCGATTCCACCCGGGTCTTCAGTACCCACTCCCCCGCGCCTAAGCACTCGGCTCATTTCGGGACTGTATGTCAGCATTCTCCTTGTTTTCTTTTTCTTACCAATTTCCGCTGGCCTCAAGAGGCCTGCGCGTGCTAAAGAATCTCTGATAGCCTGCTTCTTCCTAAAGAGTCTCTGCTAACCCGCCTGTTCCTAAAGAATCTATGCTAGCCTGCCCTTTCCTCTAGCAGTCGGTCATTTTGGGAAACACTGATAGAAAGCTCGAAAAACAGACCGTCCATTGTGACCGAGAAAGTCGGCGAAAAATCGGTTCCACCCGCCCGACAACCCATTCGTATATTTTGCGCAGCTGCTTCAACAGTCGTTTACTGTGGGATTATTTGGTGGTTCTGGGTGCTTTACCCCTAATGCAACCGACCCTTTCCTAAAGAACCTCTGCTAGTTTGCCTTTTCCTAAAGAATCTCTGCTAGCCTGCCCTTTCCTCGAGAATCTCGGCTAGGCTGCCCTTTCCTAAAGAATCCCTGCTAGCCTGCCCTTTCCTCAAGAATCTCGGCTAGGCTGCCTTTTCAAAAGTCTCTTCTAGCTTGTATGCCAATTTTTAAGATACCGGCCCCTAGGAAAATATTTTCGCGACGCCTGTTTTGTCTCAAAGCGAGAGGGGGTGGGCGTTTTTGAGCCTCGAAATGGCTTAATCGAATCATCGTTCGTTATGCGTTGCTCGACCCCGCAGCCCGTCGATTCGGATTCTTCGCTCTGCACGGCCCTTTCAATGAAACGCGTTTTTTTTTTATTTCTCGCTTTGAAACCTATATTCAAATTTGTGCTTTCCAGTTTTTCCAAATCGCGCACCCGTTCTTCGACGACTTCTTCATGTTCAGGAATGAGGAGCGGGGCGTGTTCGATGATCCATTTTTTGGTGAGTTAAATATTTTTTCCGTTTTCTAACTCCCGCGCTCTCTCTCTCTCTCTCTCTCTCTCTCTCTCACTCTCTTCCACTATCTCTCTCTGTCTCTCTCTGTATCTCTCGCTCTCTCTTTCTTTTTCTCTCTCCCTTCTTTATACAACATTACTTTAAGACCGAGCCCCTCGCCTCTTCTCGGCCAATCCATCGCGAATTTCTTCGCCTGCGCCGACAACAAAACGACTCTCCTCACCGGCCGACCCCTACCATGGTGTCGTGAGGAATATTCCGATTCGCGTCGAGCAGTCCGGAGCTTTCATTGTGAGTAGCGCCACTACCGAGGGAGAGCACAATATCTTGCAGGCCCCCTCCCCGGCCGCTTTTGACGAACCACGAAGGAGCTATCAAGCGACAGAGAGGTGGGTATTCGCAGGTTTTCACTTTTTCTCAATCCTTGATTTTCCTCGCCCAAGCCTAAGTCTTAGCCAAAGCCTAACAAGGGAACCTCACGCGGACAGGGTGGAATTTCGAAAAACGCTCGCGGCTACCCCTAGGTAATCGACCATTGCGACACGATGCGCTTGTCGTTTCTGAATGCACCTGTGGACAGTAGCACTCCGGAAAATGATGATGAATGCGAAAAATTAGATCGAGGGATGGTTTATAGGCCCCCATCACTATGGAATCACCAGTTGAATGGCCGAGTGGTAAGCAACTCGCTTGTTAGGATACTGACGAGGGTTCGGATCCGCTCACGATTTTTTATTTTTGCGTTTTTGGCCAGAGATTTTGGCACAAGTCCAGAACATCGCGAAAATTGATGAAACCCCCATACTTTACCCAGGATAATCCCTTGTTCTTTTGAATTTTTTCGAAAAAATAGTCCCGACATCGATGCGGACGGTCATGCAACCTTTGGCACGCCAGAGAACAAAAATTTTTTGGCTGTTTTGTAAGAATCCTTGTCTGATCGACTGCACCAGAAAATGTTATAACGGCACCCCTGGCTCGTGCAAAAATCGACATCTAAAGATTTGGGTCTGATACATTACCTGGTCTGGACTTGTTCAAAAATCTCTGGCCAAAAAGCAAAAATAAAAAATCGTGAGCGGATCCGAACCCTCGTCAGTATCCTAACAAGCGAGTTGCTTACCACTCGGCCATTCAACTGGTGATTCCATAGTGATGGGAGGCCTAACCTCGATGCTAATTTTTCGCATTCAAATCATCATTTTCCGGAAGTGCTGTATCTCTGTCCACAGGTGCATTCAGAAAAATCTGCACACGTGATCGCATGGTCGATTACCCAGGGCGGCGTTTCTAATTCCACCCTTCACATGAGGTTCCTTGCCTAGGCCAAGCCTAAGGCCTCCTCCTAACAATCTACAGAACATTGCAATCGAATGGCATTTAGACAGCTCTCCCCGCCGCCACCTCCAGTGCGAAAGTACTACAACCATGTCGCAGCTCCGACTCATCATGTGCCTCCCGTAAGTTGGACTCGCGGCTCTCAAATCAGCGTTCAGACGACTTCATCCTCGGATGAAGACGCCGACCCAGTGACGCCACGCTTCCCGGTAGCCAGCCACTCGTATCTTGAGGCACCCGCGAGGACAGATGCCCGACCGTCACCTACCGATCTGCACACCATGGACAAGCTGGTCAACCGGCTCCAGCAGCTTGGTGCGTTCGAGGCTACCGTCTAATATGAGGGTTTAGCCGCGAAAACCGCTCCACGTAATGTCTTCGAAGGGACGGACTTTCCGAGTGAGCGTCGGTCTCAGAATTCCTATGTGTCATCCGGGGAATCGTCGTCGGGGCGCGCTTCATCTGATCGGAAGGTAATTTCTAGGTGCGCATGCACCGGTGGCTTAGGCTTACCAAGGAAATTACTCAGAAATTCATCTTTAGCGAATATCCGAGATTTCGACGAGCTCCGATGCCCCTTCTGAATCCTCAGTCATCATCTATGGCTCAGGGGGTGAGCAAGAGCCCCTTCCACCAATGTAGGTGATCTTGGAGACACGTTAAAGATGTTCAAGCGCCCTGGGGAGCTTGGGCTTTGGCTTAGGCTTAGACTGAAGCTTGAGCTCGAGCTTACAGTAGCATAAAAAGCAGCCCCTTGCAGCCCGCGAGCCCACTTGAGCCCATCCCCCCAGCCGAAACGCATCGCCAAGTCGCCGGTTCCCGACAGCATCTTTTACGAAGGTAAACCCTACGACCAAAGTCGACGATTTTTGGTTCCAGTAAAACCGACGAGTACATCGGTGTTGGAGACCGTCTTCGACAATCTTGACCACGAGTCGCCACGAAGTTCGTGGAGTCACGAACGAGATCTGAAGGTCAGTGGGAGCAGAACCCGCAATAATGGCAGTTCCGTCATGATTTAGAGACGATTTGCTATCGAAATTTACAAAGCTAATTTTTCCTGAAAATCCCCTAATCCCATGCAAAAAAATGTCGACATTCCGAATTTGGACATTCTGAATTTCGATATTAGGAAATTTCGACATCATGATTTTCGACGTTATGAAATTTCGACATTATGATCTTCGACGTTTTGAAAGAAAACCCTTTAGAGACCGACCCGTTTCCCTCCGGCTTGGCAATCCGGGCCAGCCGTCCGCGTGGAGGAGGACTTGAAGCACAACGCGAGTCCCAGTTGGAAACGGGTAATCAAACATCGATTTCTTTTGCATCCAACATTCTTGCTCAGGTCCCAACGACTGTAGATGGCATGCCCCGAGAAGCGATGCCCGCCGAGAAAAGGTAAAAGAGGCTTTTGTGTTTCAAGGTTGATATTTCGGGGTGAATCCTCTCAAGGAAAGGACTAGTAGGTTATATAAAGTTTTATATCTAAAAGAACCCGAAAAAATGTTGCTATTACATAACGCCGCCCTTTCTAGCGTCCGCCACGATGACTTGGAGGTGCTGGAACGGAAGCGGGCGGTGGTCACGGAGCTGTCCGATGCGCTCCGCATGATTGATGGAGCTGTGCAGATGGTGCAACGGGTGAGCATGGGTTCGAGAAATTCTGCTATTCTGCAATGCTTAAGGGAATCTCAACCGGATATCAATTACTAAGAGCCCCTGCTCTAATGCCCTCACCCAAGATATCCTTTGTCTTTTAGTCAACCGCGCCCCGGTTTTGGCGAGCGCCTCACGTGCTCCAGATGCACCTCGGCACCCTGCAGGATGGTTGTCATCTACTGAGCGAGCAACTCGACGCGTTCGTCGAGGCGACGGCCCGGATTTCGATCGATTCGCGTCATCAGAAGGCCGATGGTGGGTGAGGGGTGGCTAGGCACCCAAGCATTGGCTTTCTGACGATCCCACCATTCCAGAACTACGACGGCTTATCACCCCGCTTCGCGACACCCGGACTACCGTCACCTCTCTCCGCCGGCAGCTCGACGCATCGGGCTGGAAGCTAGCGGTGTTGGCACGGGATCGGGACCAACCAAATACCGCCATGGAGCCCCTCGAGCAGTTCGTCATGTTGGCCAAGCAGGTGCCACACTTTGCGCGACTAAAAAGCAACCTAAAACCTCAGATTCCGTCGGAATGCCGAACCGTGTGGGATTGGGTTCGTGTGCTCGCCCCGTCCACTTCGATCATGTTCCTGAAGGGGACGCAAGAGCCGCTTAAGGCCTCGTTAGCTCTGCCCGAGGACGACAAACGGTAAGTCTGGTAGAACCGTTCTCTCTGGACTGAGCAAGAGCCTGCCCTTTCCACTAAGAAAACCTCGACAACTTTTGGCGCTTACCCTATTTTTGAGACTCGCACAACAACACTTTTTCAGGCTTTCAACCGCCTCCTCTTCGTCCACGCTGACGTCAGGAGAGTCATGCTCTTCTGCCTCACAGTCATCGGCTTCGCCCCGGCCCCCACCCACCTCGATCCTAGCGACTAATAAACTGGGAAACACCCGAGGACGCGTAAAATTTGTCGATGAGGTCCGTGATACTCTAGTGGCGGCTATCCTCCTCTTCTTCAAGACACCCCCTATTTTTAGATAGCTGCCTCTCCCATCAGAAGCTCACTATCCCCCTCGGAGACCGAGTCTGAGCGCGAGACACCAATCTATTCGGAACTGAGCAAAGTGAGAGGCTCCGATGGTGAGCCAAGCGACCGTCAGCCTTAGAACATGATTTAGCACACGCAAACGTGGTAGAAGAGGAGGATCTGGAGAGCGATCGAGAGTCCTTGTACAAGGATTATGCGATTTTGGACGACATCATTCCGGAAAGGCGGCAGCAACGCGAGAAAGCGCAAGCCGCCACTAGCAAAGTAACGAAAGAGGAAAAGGCGAAGATGAAGTAAGTTTAACAGCTCCATGAAAAAAGCTTAAATCCGCTCCAGCTTCGTAACTCTACAAATTTAACAAAACCTTGCGCCTAGAAATAATTTCTCAAATGTAATATCTCAAATTAATCCAGGCCGCGTTTTCTCAAATACCTTTTTAAAAAGCCGAACTAGGGCCGCCACACCTCATCGAGATCTTTCGATAAATACCTAAATCGTAAAAATTTGACATAACTGCGGATTGCTACAGCGTTTTTTTGGCTACTTGTATAAGCCGAAAAAATAAAGCTACGGTTTTTCTTGTCAGATTTCGCAAATTAGAGCCAATAATTTAGAACCGAATGAGTCGACAAACTATGTGAAAATACGTATTCAGGCGACACCTTAGCCAAGTCGAGAAGCACGTTAGCGCCCTGGCCCAGGCCATCGACGTCTTTTTCACCACCGTCGAAACGCAGAAGCCGCCGGTCGAATTTGTGGACCGGGGGAAGCTTGTGAGTTTTTGGAAAATCTCTGATTAACCGACGCTGTTCCGGGAAATCTCCACCAGTCTAAGCCTAAGCAACCACTAAATTAAGATGATCCGTTCGGCCTACCAGCTCGTGTGTTTGGGCGATTCCCTGGCCGACGAACTGCACTCGGAAGCTCCAAAGTCCGCCATCAAGGAAGCGGCTACGCGACTGTACGATGCGCTCGAGGAATGCGTCGCTTTCATCAAGGCGGCTGCGGATGAGGTTTGACATACAGGGTGTCCCAAAAACCACCTCCTCGGCATTGCGTCGTATTACATTGTGGTTATTTCGAGTCTGCAACACCTCTGGTCGAATTGGGATCTATCGGATGTAATACGATAAAATGCCGAGGGGCCGTTTTTTGGGACACACTGTAGTTTCGGCCGAATTATCGACATTGAAATTCACATCTAGTTAAGATTTCAATCTCCAAAAACTTTCTGGGCGTTTTAAAGCCAGATTTCCATTACAGTATCCGAACATCGAATGCATGCAGACGATGATCGACAGTGTGATGACGGTGGCAAGGTGTTCGCAGGCGATCAAGCGCGCGATCGCCGAGTGGCTATAATTGGCCACGTCTTTTCAGAGATTTATATACGCTTACGCTATTATATTCGTACTTTCGCTGTGATACGCCTTTTTCCTCATATCAGCCATCATTTGCTCAACGATGTTGTGCTTGAACTTGTCGCTCCCAGTGAATCTTTTCCTTGATTGGCTAGCCCCAGCTAGCGGTGCTGTATCGTGTTAAAAATGAAGAAATACTCGTTATGGCATCTGTTTATACCTTTCAACACTCTTGAGACAGTCGGTACACAAGCATTCAAAAAAATGATACGGGCTGTGTAAGTAAAGGGGTTGGGGACGGGAAATGGCGAAAAATGCCGGAAAATACATGATACCCAGAATTTGTTTTTCAGGGGCTTATCTGTTAGCGGGGGAGCTGTTTTTTTATTTTTACGTATATCCCAACTTGCTCATGATAAATAGTGGATTGCTAAAAAATTCGAAAATCAAAATTTTTTGACTTTTTGCAATTTCTCAGAAATTTTTGACCAAAAATCAAAATGTTCATCATTTTTTGAATTTTTTAATAAAGTTTTTAGAGCTAAAAACTGTGTAAAATAATATAATGTCAGTTTATATTTTTTCGCTATAAGCCCGTGCGGAATCACTGAAAGATTGCCCCCCCCCCCGTTAACAGAGAAACACCGTTTTTACGAGTTGTGATGGGCAATGGGAGGGACACTAACCGGAATTGCACACTAGCACACGAACGCGACGACGCACAACCAGAATAAAACGTTAATGACTGGGAGAAGGGTGGTATGACAACGTGGATACAATTGGATCCCAATGGAATCGAGAACGTGTTGACAAAGTTGGGAAGTGTCTGGCGGAATACGGGTCAACCGTTTCCCGAGCACAATAATATATTAGGTGCTTAAATAAAACATCTGAAATTTTAAAGGGATCAGGAAAACGAGATGTCAAGTTACAGGGAAGCATCTAAAAACGGCCCTGTGACGCCTGCTGGAATGCGGCCCCAGCAGCTCCTCGCGCAGCTGCCCCAGCCGCCGCCTGGACGTTGCGATCGCTCATCACGCCGTTCGTGAACTCTTGGCGGGCCTTGTCGATTGAGAAGCCGGCCCCGCGGTAGAGTCGATGAACCTGGAAATAAGATGTTATTTAGGCTTAGGCTTAGGCTTAGGCTTAGGGTTAGGCTTAGGCTTAGGCTTAGGCTTAGGTGAAGCTTAGGCTTAGGCTTAGGCTTAGGCTTAGGTTTAGGCTTAGGCTTAGGCTTAGGCTTAGGCTAATAGAGGTAGACCATGGAAATCGGTCATATCGATAGGCTTAGGATTAGGGTAAGGTGGCAAATCCATTTTGTCGAAAATCAATCCCACTAGAAAACAGCCCAAAAGGGGTGAACAACCGACCTTCAGCAACGAGAAAACCATCCCTCCAAGTGCCACAGTAAATGCCGCAGCGCAAACGCACATCAGTAAGGCAACCGGTACGGAAACGCTGAACGTCTCCAGGGCGATGACCCTAAGCCGGCAAAATGGGTTTTGGCGCTGAAAACGAACCATCCACATGCGTATTGCGAAATGCCGAGCGTTTGGACCAGTGTGAAGATGGAATGGAAGAATAGCACAAAGAAGAAGATCATGAAGTTGAAGGAGGAGTCGTTCCGGAAGGCCTAGAACCGGTTGGATTTCTGCGCAGCGCTTTGGCTTAGGCGTAGGCTTATGCTTAGGCTTCGGCTTAGGTTTAGGTTAGGCTTACCTTGTAGACGGGCCGGAACCAGAAGAGGAATGCACATGGCGAAAAGAGCACCAGCTGAATAATGGCCAAGAAGAGCGTGCCGATGGTGCCCTTCGCAAACAGAACGTAGAATAGCGATGTCACCTGAAATATGCTTAATTTAGTATCCGGATCTTTTCCAAATTAGAGAATCATTTCGCAAAAGCTCGGCGAAATTACATACCACATTGACGAAGAGGGCGAGCACGTAGATTAGGAAAACGTAGTAAACGAGCGTGACAGTCTTCTGGAACTGCACCGGGATCTCGACTTCAATGTCCTGAAAAGAGTTTTCAAATATGATTTTTCGGGCCATAACAATTTTTTATTATATTTTTCGGCTCTCTATTGAATGCCGTTTTCGAAATCTTGAAAATATTCAAAACGCCGAAAATCCCCCCTCCCGTTATCCTAAGTTTTGCCCATAGTTTTCATAATAGTTGTTATGCTATAAAGCTTTTATATTACATTTTTTTCCCGCTGTAAAAACGTCGCCTAGTAGATTTTTTTGACGTTCTATCTATTGGCGTTTGCAAAATATCGAAAATCTTAAAAATTTTCAACTTTGTTAAAAAAATGTTTGTTTATTCAATAAAGAATTTCCAGTATATTAAACAGTTACAACTGAAATTAATTCTCTTAGTTTATTTTTGAAGCTCTATCAAATGGCACCCGCAAAATACCACAGTAATTGTAAAAATTTCATAATAATGAATGGTACCGGCTTAGGCATAAGAAAATTAGGTAATTAACCGCAAACTTGGGTAATTGAACCGGGCGCCGCCTTGCTTTCCCACTGGCCCCCCACCTGGCCCACTGTGCGGACAGATAGTCCGAGCCTCTCCACCTCAATTCGTCAGTCGGTTCACCCCAACCTTCTGACCAATGGGTGTCAGGGCCCCCCTTAATGCCTGCAAATGGGTGTAATGGCTCCCCTTAATGCCAAGGAAAAGCTTCGGCTTCTGAACTGCTTGAAAAGCTTCGGCTTTGCAGTAAAATACTGGCATGGCTACGTGTTCTACGTAGTCCAAATGCCTAAGCAACCGGTTGGTAAGGCTGCAGCCACAGGCGCGGCACTTACGAAAAAGCCTGGCCCATACATGTGGTGGCCAAAAAAGGCAAATTCCCCCCTCTCCCCCCTCTCTCCCCACCCCCTCTCCCCCCTCTCTCTCTCCTCCCCCCTCTCTTTCTTCCCCCATCTCCCTCTACCCCCCTCCCCTCCCTCAATGCTTTACCCCGTCCCCCTCTCCCGTCCCCTCCTCCCCCTCTCCCTCTACCCCCCCCCCTCTCCCCTTCCCGCCTCCCCAAAACCCCAATCTCCCAAACCCCCAAAACGGCCCTGACACCCAGCCCTTTAGAACCATAGCACAGGAAGTAGCTGACGAGCACAAACCGGTAAATCATCGATACCAGGGTAGGCTAGCAGACTCCGTCCCGGAATTATCGCTTTTTGTGAAGACAAGTTTGGGAGGGTCGTTGGTAGTCCGTGAACCGTCGCAATGCGGTACGAGGGAATACAACTTACGCGCCAGCCCGTGGCGCTTTTACACAACGGAAAAACGAAAAATTGATTCTCTTAGTATATTTTTCGACGCTTTATCGAATCCCAAAGTAATTGCAAATTTCATAATAATGAATGCCCCCGTTATTTTATCCCCCCCCGTTATCCTATGAGTACCAGTTTTCCTACAGACGACCGGTAGGGCCCTCGCTAACAGGTTTTTTTTTGGCTAAAATTAACTTGCTTGGTATCGTTTTAGACGCTCTATGGAATGGCAGTCGCCAAATCCCATAGAAACGTAAAATATTAGAAATAGTTACCTGGTAAAAGCAAGGCTCAATGGGGATGATGGTGGGGAGAGGTGGCCAGTTGTGTGGTCGGGCACCATTGGCTGGTGCCGGTCCGGTTGCCCCATTGCCACGCTGGGCACCTTCCTGAATAGAAGATCAAAGATGATGACTAAAAATTCAAACCCGTTGCCGACGTTCCATCTCTTCTTCTTTTTTCCGCAGCTCTTGTGCCTTGCGCTCCAGCTCCTCCTGACGACGAAAAATCTCATCGCCATGTACGGAAGCTCCAGCCGAGGCCTGAAGGAACACGTAGTTATAAAAATTGTGCATTAATGATTATATAAAAAGTGTTTGTGTGTGCATTTGCAGGAAATTTCGTCAGGGTTTCTGGAGGATATCTCGATAGAGGAAGGGCCTTAAGCTACGTACGATACGTCATTATATGCCTGATCGTCCCGAAATCATCAGATTTTGAAAAATTGGCCGTTTTGCCCTTACGATTAATCAAAAAAATTAAGTTTTAGTTGTTAAAATTAAGTTTATATCGAAAAACACCTGGTTTGCATGCGCCAGAGGTAGGAAGAGCTTCTATAAAAGGGCAGAGGGAGTATTTCGCATATTTTAATATCGCAATTCGGGTGAAAATATGCAATGTGAAGACCACCATGTGTCCTAGACGGGGCCAGGATTGAAAAGCCGCGTAGCGGTTTTTCAAACCCGACTTAAAAACGGCAAAAATCCAGTCCAAGCTCCCAAGTAAAAAAAGCAGCTGTATTAAATTAGGCACCAAATTTCCAACCGCTTTCGATTATCTAGAACTATCTTAGAACGGTTAGCGACATCACGAACCTGCGGTGCCGCACTTGGTTGCGGTGGCTGGGCACGCTGGGCGAACGGGTTGAAATCTTCGTTGATGTTAGTAGAGGCGCCCGATGTGGCCGCTGCACGCACAGAAGGGTCCTAAAAATTGATTTATTTAAGTAACATTTCTATAAAACTTGGAGGTGTTAACGACAGCTAACAAACTCACGGCGAACGGGTCCGAGAACGGATTCTGGTTTAGCGACATCTGAAACGGAGGCTTATAGGGAAGCAAATGTGGGAGTTATACGAAAAATGACGATGAAAATAGATGCCACGGAAAAAAGATCAATATGTCTATGAATCATCTGGTCTCCGGGACAAAGCCAAACAAAAAAGCGGCCGCTGTTCATAACAACAAAAACAAAAATCCGCTGCTGGTTCGTTAGCGGGGGGTGGGAGGGGTTTTCGAGAAGGGCGAAGTTCAATGTCGTAGATTTTAAAAAGATCAGCCATCATAGCCATAAAGATGTTTTTGAATTTTCATTATTTTTTTCAGGACTAGATTACCGCGACCCGGTAGAGCATCAAAAAATATATTACAATTTTTAATTACGTCAAAACAATAAGTGAAGAAAGTTATAACAAAAGTAAAACTAACTCTGAAAATGTGCGGTGTAAGCTATTTTTCGGGTGGTAAGAGTTTGCCGAGATTTTTGCAACCCCATTCGATAGAACATCGAAAAATATACTAAGTATTTTCATTGAGCCCACAATAATGTAAAATAAAAAAGTTATATCCAAAACCCTGGGGCCGGGGGCGGGGGTGTAGATTAAAGTGTAGCCTTATTTCCAAATCGACAATAAAAATTTTAGAAGTAATGATTCTAGAAGTAATGATTTTTAGAAGTAATGATGGCCAGCCAAAAGCCAAACACCTCAAAAATTTCCAAACGCCAGCGAGGGAAGACAACAGCCCCTTGACCGGCTGTGATAAGAGGGTCGGGGGGTTGCGGGCCGGGAAGATGAGGCGGCTTGGCAAAGTGCCAGCACTCGCCCGGGCCCCCTCTACTGTAGCTTGTGGCGGTCCGGAGGGGAAGAGACGCAGAGTCACGGCTGGTCTCTGTCCTCTACCCTTGCAAGAGCTCTGTCTGTCTGCCTGTCTGTCTGCCTGCCCTCCCCCCGCTGCTCATCTGTCCGCCAGCCGTGTGCGCCCACCCACTTTGGAGCCGAAACCGGCACCGTTTCTCCGCGGCGCGGACGCACAAACAGACACGAGCGCGTGCCGACATACACGCCGACATACAAACATACACACACGCACGGTGGCGCCGGGACCGCCCCGGTAATGCACAGCTCGCTCTCCTCGACAACACGCGCACTTTTCTGCCCCCTGTTATCGACTCATTGCCGGCCGGCTGCCCGCGACTTTTTCGCCGAGTAGCAGCAACAGTCAGTCAAAGGGCGACGACGCGGCGGAGTAGACTCCGGTAGGTGGTATACGCATTAAGGGTATAGCAATTGTTTTGCGACTAGGATATTTCCCTGCTTCCAGTTTCCACATTTCCGCGCGGCTTTTTTAGTGTTGACCTGGTTTTTGGGGCGCCGCAAAGTTTATGGCTTCCGGTGCAACTTTATCAATTGGATGACAAATTGTGGCTTACGGGTTTTGAGACCATTTTTGGCGCCTCAAAAACAGCATAAATTCCGGCTCAGCAGCCGGCTGTTGCTGACTTTTTGGCACGCTACGTATTTTTGTTCCACAACTGCCCCAAATTCAAGCGCAACGGAATTTTTGCGGTTAAGATAAAATATTTGTTTCGGGGGAATGAACTTTTAAGGCGCGGTTTTGATAATTAGCATACGCCTAGCAGAAGCTTGAAGCCTAACCCTAAGCCCAAACCTAAGCCTGCGCCTCAGCCAAAACCAAAGCCCAAGCGTACGCCTAAGTGATAAGGTTTCTTTCAGCCGTTCGCCATGAAGATCGCCTGGGAAAGCGAGAATTGGCCTGGGGCCAAGATTGATCCAGGTGAGTCCATCTCTATCTATTGTCTATCTCTCCCCCCTCTCTCTCTCTCTTTCGGCTTTCCTCAGCAACTAAGATTTAGGCATAACCTGCCTGGCATGGATGCACCAACCCGATCTACCAGGGCAAGGTATGCTCGGCATCGGTAACGAGTCGGGCGCCGTCGGCATCACGTTAACGTCTGAGAAGCCGATAAAGGATGATCAGCAAAGGTGGGCGTGGCTTCTGAATGTCAGCGAGGTCATCGTTCAAAGTTCCGTGTCCCAACGCAATCGTTTGCTTCCACCAGATCAAATTTAACGCTATTTGGATTACTGAATGCTTAGGTGTAGGCTTAGTTCTATAACTAGTCTATAACTATCCTCCAAAATATATCCATTCAGGTACAACTTCAATCTTCGCGGGCACCACTCGACAATTTGCATGACCGCCTGGAACAAGCCGCAGTGCAAGCTGGCCTCCTGCGACTCGTCAGGTATGTGGTATACTCGTCTGGCCTATACCATGCCGAGTCTAAAGCCTAAGCCTGACCCAGAGCATGAGGCTCACAACCAGCCTAAGCTTAAGCCCTAAGTCAAAGTAAGCCTAAGCCTAGGACCAAGCCTTAACCTAAGTCCAAGCCTAAGCACTCTCTGCATCATCCCATTTTGCACCTGTCTAGTTTATCACTTTACCGGCTTTCGCAGGTGAGCCATAACGACGAGCAGGTGTAATTTTGAAAACGATTCCTCAACTTGCATCGCCGATAAACTGCCCCCCCTGATAATGCAGAAGAACCGATATTTCTTTCAGGCGTCATCTACGTGTGGGTGCGAAACGACGACCGCTGGTCGGTCGAGCTGGTCAACGACCGCGGCGTGAAGGTGCGTGACCTGGCCTGGAGTCCGTGTGGCCAAAGCGCCCTCATCTGCTACGAGGACAACTTTGTGCTTGTCGGCAGCGCCTCCGGCCAACGGATATGGAGCCACCAGTTCCCACAGGACGACCCGAACATGCAGGTTTGTATTTTGGGTGCTTTCGCATTATCGGGGGGGGGGCTGAGGCTTCGGCTTAGGCGTTAGGCTTAGGCTTAGGCTTAAGATAAGCTTAGGGTTACGTCCTTCCTTCCCTTAAGCCCAAGCCCAAGCCTAAGCCTAAGACGAAGGCTAAGCCTAGACCTAAGCCTAAGCATAAGCCTAAGCCGAAATCGAAGCCGAAGCCTAAGCCTAAGCGAAGTGATGCCACTTCAAATTCCCCTTTTCCAGGTGAACTGCGGCGTCTGGGCGGCCGAGTCACGCGAGATAATCCTCGGCTTCGCCTCCGGGATGTTCCAGGTGAACTGTTGTGGCTAATCCCCACAACCCCTGATTTTTAGGTAATGTTCTGCGACGGTGGCAACATCACAGAACGCCGCATATCTGACTCACCCATCGAGGAAATGGCTTGTTCGACGGAACGGGACGGGAAATGGACGCTCGCTCTCCTGACCGAGGATGGGCATCTGAAGATGATATCAGCGTATGATCAGGTGGGCAAAACGATTCCGATAGGTTTATTCGCAATCTTTCTTTCTCTCTCTCTCTCTCTCCCTCTCTCTCGCTCTCTCTCTCGCTCTCTCTCTCTTTCCCTGTGCTACTTTAAAGAACACGGCTAGTTTACCCGCTACAACTTCCGTCATTTACAGGTCGTTCCCCACTCTTACGAGTGCAAAGAGCGAATACGTCGGATACAGTGGAACACCGCAGGCACGCAGCTAGCGGCCATCAGCCATAAAGACGAGGTAAATTTCCGTTTTTCTCTCCTAAAATAGCCAACTCAGGTGTTGGTCTTCAATGTTGACGCTCAGCTGATCCACCGGGAGCGCGTTCCCGTGCCGAAGGGAAAAGAGCTGACCGCCTTCACTTGGGTGAACGAGGGCAAGGTGGGTAAAAGTTTGTCATACTTGGGCCTTCGCCCAAGCCTAAGCCTAAGCCTAAGCCTAATCCTAAGCCCAACTTAAGCCTAAGCCTAAGCCTAAGCTTACGGGCTTAACCTTTTGAAAATTTTCCCGTTACAGGCGCTGATGTTCGCGGCAGGAGGTCACGTCGCCGTCGGCAAGTTGATGGAAGGCGACGTCATTCCCACGCTGTTCAACCTCGTCAAATACGCGTGAGTACCTTGTCCGATCCGCTGAGATAGGAATTCCTGTCATTTCAGCGACAACTTTTTCATCGAAAAATCTTTCCCCCCAAAATCATTGCGCCAAAAACGTTTCCATCAAAGTCCTAATTTTGTATTTTTTTGTATGGAATTAATTACTAAAGAAAATCTCCAGGCTGTGGCAAGACCTCGACGCGACCGGCCGAAAGGTGGACTCCTTGAAGTTGCCGGGATGGGCGAAACGCGAGATAGCAGATCATGACCATCATGTTGTTCGCGTAAGTTTCACGATAATTATCGCGCGCGTTTTATAAAAAAATACGCGTAGAATTTTAGTGTCGAATCCCGCGACCCGACGACCTGTGTCAGTTTATTTGCACAGTGCATGAGGCGCGCTCGTACTGCACCATCCGCCCGCTGTCTCGGGGAAGCCCCTCCTACGTGCTCTGTGAGTCGTTTGATCCCGGCGTAAGGGGGGGATGAGCTCGACATCGAATGAATCAAGGGTTTCGATCCGGATGCGAGTCTATCAAAATCTCGAATTTCAGAATTTCGAAAATTAGAATATCGTTTCAGAAACTCGAAATTTGCATAGGCTGGATGCAGGGCGTAAGCGTGCAAGTTCTGCACCCCTTAACCTTGATTCATACTTTTCCGAGATTCTGAAAAATCGAGGTTCTGACTTTCGAGATTCGAACTTTCGAGATTTTGAAAATTCCAGATTCTGATAGGCAATCTTAACTTTTAGGTATGGAGCATATGGGAGGGCTTGTACCGCTTCTCGTCGGTCGCCAAGTGAACCGCTTCCTTCCTCAATTCTACATCTCATTGCATCACGAGGCCACGGCGGGCGCAACCACGACGACCCGGCAAGCCCATACCACGGGCCGGCAGATCCCGATCGGGTCTTCGGCCCAAGTTGGTAAGTCAAGAGGGCTAGAGAGAGAGAGAGAGAGAGAGAGAGAGAGAGAGAGAGAGAGAGAGAGAGAGAGAGAGAGAGAGAGAGAGAGAGAGAGAGAGCGAAAGAGAGAGAAGACAGAAAAGTTAAAGCATCATTTTCCAAATTTTTTCAGAAGATATGTCCCTCATCTCGAGGTCGACCACCGGCCGAAATTCCCTGTGGCGGAAGAGCAAGCGTCAATTGCGAGCCCTGATGACCCGGCACGTGAATGCGGCTGTCCGACCGGCCCGTGTCGACACCCGACTCGTGCACGTCACCTCCAACGTCTGGTGCACCCGATTCCAAGTGACTTCGATGGCGCCCAGGCTGTTGCCGCCCTACCTGGCACAGGTGCGTCCCTTATTTCCTTCCATTCAAGCACGCCCCGGCTTCAGATCATCTACAAAACGTCGGTGCTGCACCTGCAGCCCCGGCAGATGACCGTCGAGCTGTGCAACATGGGCAAGAAGCACCGGATGCAGGCACGGACTGGAGCCGCCGCCGCCGCGCCACAGCCCGAACCGGTACGGGGGTTGGAGCTTCTTCGGGGAAGCTGGAGTTTTAATGATGAGGCTAGACACCAGGGAAACTGTTATGGTTATAGTCGGCGTCCGGTCACTACCCCGAAAGTCACTACCCCGAAAGTCACTACCCCGAAAAGTCACTACCCCGAAATCGTTTACCCCGAAAAATGATAGCATTGGTTTTCCCGGAAAAATCCAGTTTTCATGCTGTTTTCCTATGAAAATCATGCAAATTATTTCGGGGTAGTGATTTTTCGGGGTAGTGACTTTTCGGGGTAATGACTTTCGGGGTAGTGACTTTCGGGGTAGTGACTTTACCCCATTATAGTCGATGCATCACGACGCGGAGGACGAGGCGTTGTTGAATGAGGCGGATGACTCGGATCTGACCAATCTACTCTATGGTGCCCAAATCGGGTCCCAGAACGACACGGAACGGGACGATGGACTCACGCTGGAGGAGCAGCGGTTTTTCGATAAGGTTGGCAAGAGAGAGAGCGAGAGAGAGCGAGAAAGAGGGAGAGACAGCGAGAGAGAGAGCGAGAGAGAGGGAGTGAGAGAGCCACAGGCTGAGCTAGATAGTGAACGAGAAACAGAGGGGTGGCCTTCGGCTTAGGCTTAGGCTTAGGCTTCGGCTTACGCTCAGGCTTACGAACTAAAGATCTGATGCAGGTTCTAACCGAGTGTGCCTCCTTACGCGCCGCTATGGAAATGGCCGTCCCGTCGACGTCTTCCGACTACGTGAACAGCAAGAAAAGCGGTGGGAATTCCTATTCGCGATGTAAACTGTGCTTCAGAGGGTACGACGACCCACGCGAGCACCTCCTTCTCCGAGGTCGCTTCGCCATCGCTGTCGCATGCCGAGATCGGGTCGTTGGCCACGTCGGCGATCAGCTGGCAAGAGGAGGTCGACTCGATGGAGTTCATCGGTATGCCCTTGGACGCGAAATTTGGAGCCCAGCCATGAGACGCTGCAAGATGACAGATGATTTCTCGCGGGCCGGTTATCTTAAATAGCTATAACTTTTTTATTTGGATTTCTGAATACCATTTCAGATGGCGTCGACGAAGAAACGGCCCTTCTAACCGCAAGGAAGAAAGGCTTGAAGAAATCGGAGCAGCCCGGCACTTCGAAGGCTTCGAAAGAAGCGCTCAAAAAAGGCGCCGAGCTCATGAAACGAAGAAAAGAGATCAAAAAGGACCAAGAAGAAATACGACAGCTCCTCGACAAACTCTCGCGAATAGCCGAACAAATCGGGAAACGACAGCTTGATTTTAAAAAGGTTAGTGTCAGGTGCGGTTTTAAAAGCTTGCTTTGCAGAACCGCGACCGCGACTCGATACGAAAGATGCGATCCCAGGTGAAGGAGTTACTGCGGAGGGTGAACGAGATTGAGATGAAGGTGAGGGAGTGGGGTTCGGCAAGCCCAAGCTTAGGCTTTGGCTTCACCTAGGCTCAGGCTCAGGCTTAGGCTTAGGCTTAGGCTTAGCAATAGGCATTGGCTTAGGCTTAGGCTTAGGCTTAGGCTTAGGCTTAGGCTTATCGGGTTCTAATTCGTTAGCGGGGGGATGTGCGGTGGTCTCCTGGAACTCCGTAGAACACAAAAGAAGCTGAAAGTTTTCTAGGTGGACGGGGCCGACTTGCGCGGCGAGGTGAAACAGCTCATCCAGACGATCGAAGAGATGAAACGTGCCTTGGGTGAGGGCGCCCGGGGAAAGGAGACGCACAAGCTCGCCGCTGATCTGCTCACCCTTCATAACAAGGCTCCGATCTGGAACGAGACGAACCAGGTTTACCAGGTGGCTCTAGGTTTTGGATCTAGCATCGGCGGATCGAATTTTCAGTTGGACTTTGGCGGACGCGTGACGCAAGAGTCGGCGAAGAACTTCCAGATCGAGGTCAACTCCAAGCAGGTCAGGCCCTTAGATTTTGTCTTTGGGGTAGAGATCGGCTTCGGCCTTAAGCTTTGAGTTTTGAGCAGGACCAAGCCCACCTTGTGCAGAATTTTGCGCTGATTCTGCACCTTTTTTAAAACCTGCCAACGCTAAGCTTCAAAAAGTAATTAAGCTTTTTAGAAAAGCTTGTTTTAAGCACGAAAAAGGCCCAAAATAAGCCAAAATAGGCAAATTTTTGCCTTTTCCGTAACGCGTACCATTTCAGGTGCTCCAATTCGGGCGCATCGAGGGCGGCGCGTACACGCTCGACTTCCGCGCGCCCTTTTGCGGCGCGCAGGCGTTCGCCGTCGCACTCGCCAGCATCACGCAACGGCTGAAATGACGGTAGCCGGGCCGATGCCTCCACGCCCGCAATCGACCCGTGTAATTGCAAGCTTCTCCCCCATTCCGTTGTGTCGCGCGGCTCCTGTACGCGGGGGCGGTGCGTGGCCCTGTGCTCAAAAATCACCACTAGTCCTTCAGCGTTTTCGAATTGCCAGAAATTTCGAGCGGAGATCCCTGTCGTCACCTTTAAAATCTTCAAACCATTTCCCAAAAGTCGTTTCCCACCAACTTGCGCGCATTCCGGCTTCGCCCACCCAACTATCCATTGGTCCCACCGGTCCCACCAAGATGTGCTCGCGGATCTGCCCATCACAATTTGAACGTTAACGAAAATTTATGAAGAAACTGGGTTGGGCTATAAGTAATGGCTTAGGCTTAGGCTTAGATGAAACCCGGTCGCAGTTAAACCTTTACAAGGCACAATCTTCGAGCACAAACTCCCCGCCTCCCTCCCTTCACCCCCTCGAAATAATTAGTGACATAATGCCGAGACCGTATCTGCACAGAGTGTTTGCAAAAAGAGCTTCCCCCCTCCGCTACCGTACCCCCATCAATCACCCCTCAAAAAAACAATAACCGTGTATGGCTCATCTCCCTCTGCTCCTCCTTCTTTCCACCACCCTTCTAATCGATGCTCCCTCATCCCCGAAGATTGTGATCAGATGCCGACGCGTTGTACCCATTCTCCCACCACCCCCCTGTTGCGTTTTTGTGCAAATTTTTGCATGGTTGCTGTAATTTGTCTCGATTAGTGTTTCCCTCCCTCGTACATGCCCCCCGATACCCAGTTTGTGATACGCCCCGGAATAGTCACTCAAATAAATTTTCCCCCTTTGCTTTGAAGACCAGGGATAACGGGATCAGAAAGTCAGAGATGAAGGCCTTGAGAGTGCCTAAGCTGTGCCTCTCCGAGCAAATCTACATGAACCTGCCTGGTAGTGTGCATTTAATGAAGGGCGCCTTTTAAAGACGTCAAGAAAGCGCAGAAAAATCAGTATAAAACGAACTTTAGTTCTAAAATTAGCATAAATCTTATCTTCTCTCTCCTGCCTCGCTCCACTCTCTGCTAATTTTTGCATTAGCATTCCCGGTGAGCTCGGTGTCGATTATAGATGAGCTCTGATCTACCGGACCTTCCTGATCCCTTTAAATTGGAGTGAATTCCCCCGATCCGCGACGCCGTCATCGACGTCGGAAGCTTCTTCAACGTCTCCCGTCCGTCCGGTGGGGGGCGATGAGAGAAGGCGAGGAGCGGTTGGGGTCTCTGGGTTCCGTGGGGCTCCTCCAGACGGCCCGTCCTCCTCCTGGCCACACAGCCATCCTCAACCCTTTCGGGATAGCAGGGCACACACATACATACATACACACACATACACCCCCCACAACCAACCACCCAGCCAGCCTCCAAGCCATTGGGTCTTGGCCGGGCACTGCCGGGCGTTTGGGGGGCCGGGAGAGAGTGCAGAGACCCTGGAGGGCACCCACCGCCTGGTGGTCCCGCGGCGATTTCGCAGCCGCCGAGACAGCACCACCCCCCGAGAGACGCCAGACACCCCTGGACCGCGACGCCAGAGCCCCGGGTCCTCCCGGCGTTGCGGCAAAACCGATCGGTGCTGCCGGCCGTTGTCGCTTCACCTCCCACCCGCCCCGTCTCTCCGTGCTTGTGCTTCTGGCCACCCAGCCACCCCCGCGCGCGCCGCACTCCACCGTCCGCGCCCGCTATTCCGAGCACCAACTATCAGTCAGCACCCAGACGTTTCTGATTCCGGGATCTACGATTCGTCCCCCAATTTTCGACGGCATTTTGACGACCCATCCCTGTACCCCACGAAGTCGGCGGCACCCGAATGTCGGTGACATGACCTGGTGAACGCCCGCTGGACCCCCCGATTCGCCGTGATATAACCACCACACAACAAACCTTACTATTATCTTATACTCTCTCCCGGAACATCGTCCACCAGCACAACCACGGGCCACACGCTGCGATATTCTGCTGGTCTCCCCTGCCTCGTCAGACACGCTGAACACCGCCAGCCAGCCAGCCTCGTCTCGACAGATAGGCCCCGGGCACACAGCGGCGGCGCATTAACGAGAGGAGGGCCGCCCCCAGCCAGCCGGGAAGAAGGCGGCGAGTAGCGCCACGACGATGGCCTGCTGCCTGTCCGAGGAGGCGCGCGAGCAGAAGCGCATCAACCAGGAGATTGAGAAGCAGCTCCAGAGGGACAAGCGCAATGCGCGACGCGAGCTCAAACTCTTGCTGCTTGGTGGGTCGAGTTTTCGTGGTTTTTGAGTATTCAAAAAAATCCTCTAAACTTTTGAGGACTAGTCTCTTAAACTAGAAAGCGATCTGCGATTCCGCTTTGCACCTAGCAACCAATTTTCTGCTCGGTATTGTTGATGATTTACGGTATTTGTTGAATCTTCTAGGCAACAGTTTAGTGTGAAGCTCAGCGCTAGTAGCTAGCGTCATCTAGGCCAACCCGAATTTCAGATGCATTTCGTGCTCAAGCTCGTCCCGGCCACGCTATATTCCGATTCTTTTGTTCCGAGCGGTTCCTGTCTCCATTCCCAATTTTTTTACCGCTTTACGAGCTTAGGCTTAGGCTTAGGCGTAGGTTTAGGTTTACGATCGATATGCCGCTCCCAAGGCTTTTTTGGGGGGTTTTTCTAGGGGGAATTAATGAAACCAAGGCCTCTCTACACCGAAATTCCAGCCGAAGTCAAATTGCCTCCTTTAATGCTGTTTTTGCAGCACCTTTATTCCCCTAGGTTTTAACGTTCCGGTGTTGCTCTACGCTTTTTCCGCAGTTTCTCTTGCCCCCCCAAATTTCGCCTGGCGCTGTGGGTCGTTTTTTAGGTTCCTTTTAGGTTTTTTTTGGGAATTCTAGCAATTCCCCGAACCTAGATTTTGGCTGATGCTCTTTTGCGCTCATAGCTTGGTATTTTGCTTCCCCGCCTTCTGGGTGTTCCCAGTTTCCAGCTTCCGTTCCCGATCCCGATCCCCCCTAGCCCGCCGCTTCAGGATTGCCGTTTCGGTGTGTGTCCATGGGTGGAGGGCGGCTATGGGTGTGTGGTGGTGGCTGTGAGGGCTGTGTGTATGTGTGGAGGTCCCGTAGAGAAGGAGGGCCGACGGATCGATACGCGGAGCCTAGTAGTCACCAGCCTGCTCTTTGTCCCCTCTCCCTGATGCGCACTCTCTCGCCCTTCACCGTTCGCCCGCTCCCTCCCCGAACGCGCGATCTCTATCGCTCTTTTCGCCACCCACCCTCACTCCATCCCTCTCCCGATCCGAAACCCGGGAAAGAGAGAGAGAGAGAGAGAGAGAGAGAGAGAGAGAGAGAGAGCCATAGTCGGGACGACTACACCAATCTGGGTGGAGAAAACCCATGATGGGTCCACCAAGGGATTGGTGCTAGACGACCAAAGATCAGAAGCCCGGAAACCATATCGAAACGACGAGCTTAAGCTAGCTAAGGAATAAGCCCGCCGGTTCTGGTCCGTTAGCGGGGGGGGCATTTTTTGTCAATAAATTATCTTCTCTTAAATTAAATAATTTTGAGCTGTATGCTTGTTGCTAAAATTAAAAATCCTAACATACTTTTTTGATGCTCTACTGGGTCGTGATGATGTAAAACAGTGAAATATTGCAAAAATGTCGGATCGTCAAATACCTTCCGGCATACTTTGTCGCTCTGGGTTTCCTAGTGTATTTTTCCAAACCTCGCGATAAATGCCATTTTTCAACCCTAGGCGAAAGAACCTGCTAAAAATCTAGGGCGATGACGAGACGGCCTCCAAACCCGGGGCTATAGAATAGATACGGAGGGGTGTTGGGAGATAACGGAGGGCATCCCTCGCCCCTAGCTACCGAAAGAAACCGCCTACGCCCTAGGCGTCAATAGGAATACGCGGAATCGCAGATCGTAAAAATCGTAAAAAAATTAAACCAAAAGTTGATCATAAAAAAACTTCGCACATGGTTTACGTTACATGCATACATACGTTTTAGGCACGGGAGAGTCCGGGAAGTCGACGTTCATCAAGCAGATGAGGATTATCCACGGCCAGGGCTATTCAGAAGAGGACAAGCGGCAACATATTCGGCTCGTCTACCAGAACGTCTTCATGGCAATGCAGGTGTGTGTCACGGGTTTTTCTAAATTTGTTCGAAAATATGTTCTTAGAGATGAAGTATCGGGGGCTCCGATTTAGGTCCGAATTTGCTTAACGGGATCAGGAAGGCCCAGGAAAAATTAGAATCAACAAGCTTTAGTTCTGAAATCGCATAAATGTTCTCTGCTCCCTCTCGCCTCGGCCCGCTCTCTCCTGCGTTTTTTGCATTGGCATTTCCGGTTGGCTAGTTGCCAAATATAGATGAACCCTGATTTACTGGGCCTTCCTGATCCCTTTAAACGCACGTTCGGGGAGCTGTACGTATACACCAATTTACGCTAGTAGACTGGCCAATGAGAATGACGTAGCAGTCGTAAATAGGTGTATACGTACAACATATCAAACGTGCGCTTTAACGAGAATATTTATCGAGCCGCAGGAGTAATGGGCTGGAATGTTTTATGCCCTTGCAATACCCGCAAAAAATTGAGTCGATGTGTTCCTTGAATTTTAACGTTTTCCTTATGGCGCTTTAATCAGGCTTCAATTAGGCTCCAAACAAACACAATTTATTTTTGTCAAAATTCGATTATGTCCAAAAAACCCGCTTGCGGCCCGCAGTCACGTCCAGTTTTTACGATTTGGATCGGGTTGTTAGGTGTTTTTTGGCAGATTCCTTCAATTTCCTCTGACGCGTAAAACCCCCTTTACAGGCGATGATACGAGCGATGGACACGTTAGGGATACCGTACGGCGACACGTCCGTCGAGTTGCAAGACAAGGCGAACGTCGTCCGGGCCGTCGACTATGAAAATGTGACGTCGTTCGAGGAGCCCTACGTAGCCTATATCAAGGATCTGTGGGAAGACTCGGGAATCCAAGAATGCTACGACCGGAGAAGAGAGTACCAGCTCACCGACTCTGCCAAATAGTGAGTTCTAAAGACCATTTGACTATATCAGGCTGATATTTGGGATTCTGGTGCGTTATCGGGGGGTTATCTCGTGTATTTTTCAATATTTGAATGTTTTTAGGACTACATCATTGCGATTCGATAGAGCGTGAAAAAATATATTAAGAATTTTAATTCTAGGTCAAAACACAATTATTCAAGAACGCTAAAAACAGCAAAATAACCCTGAAAATGGGGGGTTGGTATGCCTAAGGAATTTTTTTGGTATTTTTCGACATTTTGTTAACGATAGAGCATCAAAAAATATACTAAGAGTTTATTTGCAGCTTAAGATAATACAATTTAAGATAGGAGCGGCTGTTGGCAAAAAATGCTCCCCGAGAACGCCCCCTAACGAACCAGAACCGGGATTGCGAAAACAGAATTACATTGAGTACTAAATAAACCATCATTTAGTTATCTCTCGGACCTGGACCGGTTAGCTGTGCCCGACTACCTGCCGACAGAACAGGACATTTTGCGCGTCCGTGTCCCGACGACTGGTATCATCGAATATCCCTTTGATCTGGAACAGATTATATTCCGGTGAGTTCCTTTGGATTTTCTTTATTTTTAACGACCAGTTTAAAGTTGTTTTTGTTTTGTTCTTACAGCTTAAAATTAATAATTTCTAAAGATGCCGCGTGAGTGAGAAATTGCGGCAAATTAGCACGTATGCAACCCCGAAAAGCCGTAGAATTTTACAAAATGGCTTGTAAAATAACGCGTTTAAATCAAGCATGCTTATGAAAATTTTTGCAAATTCATCATTTCAAGGGCTTTCGAATAACGTAACTACCATTCCGGTCCGATACTTCTACGTCGAGTTAGAGTGGGGGTGTTTTTTGGGACACCACCTGTATTTTAAAAAGACCACTAGGCCAGAAAATCAAACCAGTCGCGAGCCATCAACGGGTCTCCTGTGTTTAGGGATTTTGATAACGCCCGATTATAACCTCAAAAATTTGCAGAATGGTTGACGTGGGAGGGCAGCGATCCGAGCGGAGAAAATGGATACACTGCTTTGAGAACGTCACCTCCATCATGTTCCTTGTCGCCCTATCCGAGTACGACCAGGTGCTCGTCGAGTGCGACAACGAGGTCAGTATTTTCGACGCTCTTTTCCTTTCCTTTTAAGCGAAAGCAATTTTTTGCGTTGCGTCAAATTCTTGAAAAAGGAGAAATTATAGCTAACGCTTCCAAAATTAAATAGTTGGAACTTAGATACGGCAAAATCCAGATATTTTAGCTACCTTCGCCTAGCGTACTTTTTTTAAACAATGCGAATATCTCAAGTTTTCAAAATGTCGAATTCTCCAAATGTCGAAATTTCATAATGCCGAAATTCAGATTGTGGAAATTTACATAAGCTAATTTTCGCGTAAAAACCCCTAATCTCAAGGAAAAATTGCCAAATTCTGAATTTCGATATTATCAAATATCGAAATCACAATTCTTGGCATTATGATAGCAAATCTGACTAAGATCATCCATTTCCACGTTCAGAACCGAATGGAGGAATCGAAGGCGTTGTTTCGGACGATCATCACCTATCCATGGTTCACCAACTCGTCGGTCATCCTCTTCCTCAACAAAAAGGATTTGCTCGAGGAGAAGATACTATATTCCCACTTAGCCGACTACTTTCCTGAATATGACGGTCAGTGGGGAGGGGGTTTCCGGTTAGCTCTAGCTGTGCATTCGGGGGATCTTGCCGCGATGAGGTGACAGGATCTCTTTCACTCACTTGCTCTCTCTCTCTCTCTCTCTCTCTCTCTCCATATTCCAAAATTCATTTTAAAGATCTGAATATGAAATTATTTTCAGGGCCTCCTCGGGACCCCATTGCTGCACGAGAGTTCATTTTGAAAATGTTCGTTGACTTGAATCCGGATGCCGACAAAATCATCTACTCTCACTTCACTTGTGCCACAGGTACGTCGTTGATGCGTCAATTTATCTCTCTCTATCTCTCTCGTTCTCTCTCTCTCCCTCTTCTTTCTCTCTCACTCTGTCTCTCTCACTCTCACTCTCCTTCTTTCTCTTTTACTCTCACTTTCTTTCTCTTTCTCTCTCTTTTTCTCATTTGCTTCCTTTCTTTTTATCTCTCTCTCTCTCTCTCTCTCTCTCTCTCTCTCTCTCTCTCTCTCTTTATCTCTCTCGCTCGCTGTTTTTCTCTTTGTCTCGCTCTTTCGTTCTTGGCCAAAACAACATTTTCAGACACGGAAAACATCCGGTTCGTGTTCGCGGCCGTCAAAGACACGATCCTGCAGCATAATCTCAAGGAGTACAACTTGGTCTAGCTCCATGTCCCCAGCCGGTCTTTCTGCCCTCCCCAATGCCCCACACACTACGAGACGCGCCACTCCCTCTCGACGGTCAATTCTTGTGCGCGCGTGTGCGTGCCGCCACGCATCCGCCACGCCTCGTCAGTCCCCTCTGCGTGCCTGCTGTCCCCGCCCCTTGAAGTGTGTGTCCTCCACTCCCTTCCCCCCGATATTGTGGCTTGAACTGATTCCTTTTTCGTTTTTGTTTTTGATATGATAGGCATATTTTGACCGTTTTCGGGTCAGCCCTGGCGCCGCGCTTGCAACGTTTTTTTTGGGGGAGGTTTCCGGATGGTCCCAGGCTACGCCCGACACCTGTATACACGCATACACACTTTCTAGGTTTTGAATTGTCCCCACCTACAAATCCCGGCCAGGCTTGGGCTTAAGCTTCGGCTTAGGCTTAGACTTGGGCTTAGGCTTAAGCTTGGGCTTGGCTTAGACCTAGGCTTAGGCCCTGGGGGCACGGGAGGGCGCGCGGAAGCGTAATTTTGATAGTAACCTGAGAGGAATTTGCTAGCTGATTCTGAGATTTTTTTTATGCGTTTTTGGGTATAAAACTGTAAAAAATGTTGTGAGATAGAGTTGGGGCCTAAACGGCAGCTTACCTCTAAGCCCAAGCCTAAGCCTAATCTTGAACATGCCCCGAAAAATCGTTGCAAGACGGCACCTTGGCGCCCCCGAGAACGCGGTGACCGTGTCTTCTTCTCACCTCTCCCCTAACCCCTCTTCCCGACCCCAACCCTATGGCTATCCACAATTCAGAAGACGATCACCGTTGCCCTCAAATGCCCCGCGCTGCCCTCGGCCTCAGCTCATTTATTTGTCGTGTACATAGCCGCGGACGGAAATACACCCCCCCACTCCGGACATCGTCGGCTATGAAAATGTCCCCCCAGTCCCCCCGAAAATGCTCTCTTTCTGACACTCTTTCTCTACTTTTCTCGACCCTTTCCTTCTACCTAGCGAGGGAACCTTCTACAAAGTCATGGTGGGATTTCGATATAGAAATTCGATTGAGTTTTCGAAAACAGATTTGAAATCAGCAAAAATTCTGCAAGCTAGGCTGTTTTCCCCGTTTTGAAATCCTACCGAGACTTTAAGAGGTTCCCTTGTAAGCTCTAGCCGTGGGGCTTGGTCGGGTTTAGGCTTAGGCTTGGCTTAGGCTTAGGCTTAGGCGGCCATCACTACCGGAACTTGAAGAACACCCGGAAGTTTAGCTTTAGGTTTTTAGACTTACAATCGGGTGCAAGCTTGGCTTGCAAACTTGCAAACTAAACCTAAACCTGAACCTAAGGTCAAACCTAAACATAAGTCCAAGCCTAAGCTTAAGCCTAGGCCTGGCCCAAGCCCCGCCCCGATCCACATCCCAAAGCAAAAACCCCTCTTATTTTCGTTTTTCCCGGAAAATGGTGAAAATGGATGAATGTACCTAAAAATGCACGATCCAGCGCAGCCATTCCTCCCCCCTCCCCCCAACAGCCCTAGTCGCCAAATTTGCACAAAGAAATATTTCAGTCCACCCGACTTTCAGCATCGACCGTACCTTAAAGCCCACCCGGAAGAGTGCACGGAGATTTTGGTGGTGTTTGAGTGGAATTTGTAAAAGCGGGAGCGACGATACAGGGAGCTTAGGCTTGCGCTTCGGCTCAAGGTTAGACTTGTTCTGATCAGCTCAGCCTCCTCAGAATCTCCGCCACCTCCCCAAACTGCCCTCCCATCCCTTCCGAATCGTGAGCAGACCCCGCTAACTCGATCGCCCCGTTCGCCCCTGCCACTTTTTTTCTCTGACAGTCTCCATCACTCTCTATCTCTCTCCCACCCTCTCCATTCTCTAGCTCTCCCATCCATGATCATTTCAAAGCAGATTTCATCAGCTGATACCCGCCTATATTCCCAGAATCACACAACCATACCCCCCAGCCAGCCAGTGTCGAGACCCAGTCCAGCCCCTCCTTTCTCTTCTCCTTCTCCTTCATCTTCATCTTCATTCTTTTTCCTTTTTGGCAGTCATACATATTATTTATTATAGCCACATGTCCGTAAATTTCCTGGAATGGTTACTTGTTTTTATGTTTTTATTTTTTTGAATAAATTGATACTATCATGGATTTACTTACTACTTTGAAACATACTTTGAAATGGGTGGTGAAAGTACACGGCAGTCGACCCATTTTTTGGTCGACCAAAATCTCGACATTTGCCGGTGATGTTGTTCTTTTTGTACAATTACATAGAAAACAAGCTAAAACTGTTCAAAATCACTCACGATCGCAGGGTGGAGCTCAGGCTTAGGTTTGATCTTGGGCTTAGGTTGGGCTTCGGCCATGGCTTAGGCTCAGGCTAACAGAGGTCGACCATGGAAATTGGCCATATCGATGGGCTTAGGCTTAGGCTTAGGCTTAGGCTTAGGCTTAGGCTTAGGCTTAGGCTTAGGCTTAGGCTTAGGCTAACAGAGGTCAACCATGGAAATTGGCCATATCGATGGGCTTAGGCTTAGGCTTAGGCTTAGGCTAACAGAGGTCAACCATGGAAATTGGCTATATCGATGGGCTTAGGCTTGGGCTTAGGCTTAGGCATCGGCTTACTGCTTCATAGTCTAGGGTATATCGTTGCAAGCCGTTGACAAAATAGAATCGTCGTGGGATTCGAAAGGAGGAAAGCTCCCGCTTAAAAACTCTTTGTATGTTGAATCTTCACGTTAGCCGATTTTGGAAGCAAGCTCGGAATCAGCGCAGAATTCTGCACAAGGTAGGCTTGGTCTCGTATCGAAACCCGATTTTCATTAAAAAACGTCTCCTTGTTAGGCATAGGCCTCATTTATTTTCAGGAACACCGACGCCGGGCTTATCCTCCGATGAATTATGGACTTATCTCTCTCTCTCTCTCTCTCTCTCTCTCTCTCTCTCTCTCTCTCTCTCTCTCTCTCTCTCTTGCTCTCTTGCTCTCTCTCCCTCGCGCTCTGCTTCCTCTGTCTATCGCCCTCGATAAATCGTTTGAATATCGGCCTTCCCTGCTGCGTACCATTTTCCAAGATCCATCTGTCCCTGATGCTCCACAAGTCCACCGACTCGACCCCAAGCAAGAGCGTGCTCCTATGTCATTGACGTCGAGCACTTTTGGGTGCTCAAATTGAGGTCTCCAGGCAGATCCCTGTGGCTCGTTTGTTTCTGGGCCCCTTTGGTCGCGGATTGTTGGCAAAAAGTCGCCCTTAATTGTGGGCCAAGCCCCCCCTGGAGGGCAAGCAAATGTCGTCGGCTGTCGTGGCCCAATTTTGCCCATTCCCGCCCATCATCTCGGGTCTGGGCCCCGATGGCTTGGCTGCTCGCTGTTGTTTTTGCTTGGGATGTCTGGTCGAAGTTGAAAGTTTGGCGAGGAGGTCGGCGGCTTTAAAGGGGCTAGGATTGGGGCGGCCCTCTTCAATACCCTGTAGACCAGCAGAAGAACAGAAGAAGATGAGCCGCATTTATAAAAAATGTGGGCATTACTGAGAGGAGGGCGAGCCCATGTACAAGGTGTCCTCACCAAAAGGCGAGAGCTTAGGCTTAGGCTTAGGCTTAGGCTTGGGCTTAGGCTTAGGCTTGGGCTTGGGCTTACGCTTAGGCTTAGGCTTAGGCTTAGGCTTGGGCTTGGGCTTACGCTTACGCTTAGGCTTAGGCTTAGGCTTAGGCTTGGGCTTGGGCTTACGCTTACGCTTAGGCTTAGGCTTAGGCTTAGGCTTGCGGTTAGGCTTATGCTTAGGCTTATGCTTGGGCTTAGGCCTGGGCTTAGACTTAGATTAGACTTAAGTTTAGGCTCAGGCTTAGGTTTGGAATTAGGCTAAGGTTTGGGCTTAGGCGTGGGCTTAGGCTTATGCTTAAGCTTGGCCTTAGGCTTAGAGCCGAAAGCAAAATTACGGATTCACATCCGGAAGTTTATGCAAGTTTTAGAATGTCGAAATTCACATGAACTAGGTGTTCCGGAAGAACCCCGGAACCTTTGCAAAAGAATTTCGACATTCTGAATTTCGGTATTGTGAAATTTCGACATTATGTTAGCAAATCTACAAGCCGTACACAATATTTCCGGTAAGAATACAGAATCAGCTGGAGGTATTGCTCTTGCGTCGCCCACTTACCTCCAACAACCAGATCTCCCATCTACCTCTTCTCCTCTTCCCCTCGTCGTCCATTTGGTAGTCCACACTGTGGCCACGCAATTTCCCCCCTCTTTCTGCGTGGCATGCATTTTTGATGAGCCGCGCATATCTATTTCAGAATCACAAACAGCCCGCGAAATTCCGGGATTCCCCGTCGCGGCGTACGGCCCTCTATTGACTTAATCAACTAAGGTAGTGCTAGGACTATGCCTGTGTTTTTTTAGCTTTAGTGTGAAGTAAGCCTAAGCCTACATGTTAGCATCGTTATCTAGTTTTTGGCGGCGACTCGACTTAGGATCGGGTTTAAGCTTAGGCTTAGGCTTAGGCTTCGCTGAGGCTTAGGTTTAGGCTTAGGCTTCGGCTTCCGGCTTCGGCTTAGGCTTAGCTCACCCCTGCCGCCCGTCCAATTCCAGCCCATCCCAGATTTTACGCCCCGGGCGCCAGTCGCTCACTGCGATATATCACCCATTTCCGCTCATTTCCATTCGTCCCCCGGTGCCAAAATTATTGCCAGCGCCCCCCTCCGAATTCGCTATCCATGCCAATCCTGGGCGCCCACCGTAAATAGACCACTTCCCGACCGCTTACTCCCAAAAAAGGTATCACCTTGAGGCAAGTTCAAAAATTTGAGCTAGTTATTTGAATGACTATCCTCTTCTACACCAGCTGCGCCAATTATTTTTAACGAAATATTTTCTCGCGTGTTTTTGCAGAAGTCTAAACTTTGCTCTTTTGGCGTTTTCGCCCTAAAATGCGCTGTAGCTTTTTCAAAATGCCAATTAAGCAAATTTGGAAAACAGATTCGGAATCAGCGCAAAATCTAACCCTTCCAGGC